TGCCCCTCCGGCCGGTCTTATCCCGAGTTGCACCGCAACTGCGAAACTCAAGGTGCCGACCAATCCTTCCCCTGCGCCCGCCGTGCACGGCTGCATGGCGGACGAAAACGCCCCGAGTCGAGCGGGGGCCGCCCGCCCCCGGCGCCCCGACTCGCCCACCGAGATGCGGGGGGATTCGTCTCAAAAAGAGCCGTGCTGGGACTTCGCTGTCAGCGCCTTCTTCTCCTGCCCTCTGCTGGTGGTGCTCTCCCATGTCGTCCACCTTGGGGGCCGTATAGCGGGCGGGGCGCGCTTGGGCATATTTTTCGACATGCCCGGCCCATGGCGTTGGCGACAGTATTGGAAGCTTCTGTTGCTCAGAGTGGCTTCCCAGTGAGGTTGGAGCATGTCCGCGCGAATCTTGGCCTCCTCCCCTCCCCGCCCCGAGGCTTGCCTCCTCTCACTTCCCCCCCCCTGGGCGCGCCGCCGATCCTCCGCGGCCCATCTCGGCCCAGGATCGGCGCAGAGGCCATACTGGGGCGGCCAGGCTGCATGTGCACACGTTAGTACCATCGCCCTGGCAATGACAGATTGGGACAAACCAAATCGGTTTTCTCGCACGACAGAGAGAGAGAGAGAGAGAGAGAGTCGGCTCCGAGCATGCGCGTCGCAGGTGGTCGGAGGAGAAGGAGGAGGAGAAAGAGGAGGAGGAAGAAAACGAGGAGGAGGAGGAGGAGAAGGAGGAGGAGGAGGAGGAGGGGGGAGGGGGAGGGGAGGGAAAGAGGAGGAGGAGGAGGGGGAGGAGCAAGGGGAGGAGGAAGAAGACCAGTGCAAACCCAAGACTCCTCAACGATGCTGGAACTGCTGCCAGGGAGGCCCCTCCCGGCTCCTCTTCATCCTCCTCCTCCCCTCCCCTCCTCCTCCTCCTCCTCCTCCTCCTCCTCCTCCTCCTCCCTCCTCTCCTCCTCCTCCTCCTCCTCCTCCTCCTCCTCCTCCTCCTCCTCCTCCTCCTCCTCCCCTCCTCCCCCGCCCTCCGCGCCCCGCGCGCACCGCCCCGTCGCCCCCCCCCCCCCCCGCGCGCCCCTCTGGCGGAGGGATCGGCGCAGGCCCCGGCAGAGCGGCGCGCGCCGAGGAGGCGGATGGTCCGAGCCCGGGGCTGCCCCCGGGCGCGAGGGGGAAAAACATGCATTCCATATCAAGGGGCCCTGGGACACACAAATAAATACACACAAATACATGCACACAAGGGGCCTTGGGACACAATAGTAAATGCAGACATTAATACGCATTCCAAACCAAAGGGCCAGAATGAAGTGGCCTTGGGACACACAAACAAATACACAGAAATAGCAGGATTCCCCATATGTTACAATATTTTCTTTGTTTTTTTGCCTTCCCCCCACTTCCCATATTCTCCGATATTTTTCATGGAAATCAGCGATTCAGTGTGTTTGTGTGTTTTTTTCCTCCTGACAGAAGCAAATCGGAATGGAGGAACAAAGTTTCGAGAACCCCGCCGATGCCTGGAACAAGCTCGACTGGCAAAACAAGCACACAGGCATGCCCGACGTGTTCGTGCACGTGTGAACACAGTTCGGAAGCAAGTTCGAACACACAATTTGAACACATTGGGAAAAATTCACGAGTTTAACAACGTTCACGAAGGACGAGAATACATTCAAAAGTTCATGAGGCGCAAACTCATGACGTTGAAAAGCGTTCAACCTAGTTTTTGATTTTAAGAAAACACAAGGCAACACCACCAGCAGTTCAAAATAAACGATCAAACAAACGGTTCGGAGAAACAAAAAAGTTCGCTGTTGGGGGGAAAGCGGTTGAAAACATGTCAGCAATTGTTAGAAAGCGTGGGTTCAGCGTGAAATACGTTCAAAGGCCCCCAAAAAAGCGACACCCCTTTTTCATACGAGCAGGGATAACGTTCGAACGTGCGCCGCAAGTTCGAGAAAGAACAACTTCACAACAACTCGACACCGAGAAACGCCCAGACAAGTTCGAGAACAACTCGCCCCCCCCCCTCCCCCGACAAAAACCACACGCGCACAGGGACTCCAGACACTCTCCGCCGAAAGCTCGCCCCCGCCCCCCGGGACGGCCTCGGATCCCTGAGGAGGGACCGGCGGAGGGGGCGGGGACCTATGAAGGGGCCCTGGGACACACAAGTTAATACACACATGTAAACCTATTCCCAATATTTTCCTATATTTTCTGAAATTTTGTCTTCCCCCCCACTTCCCATATTTTCCTACATTTTCTGGGGAATCGACGATTAATTGTGTCTGTGTGTTTGTTTCCCTCCTGATTACGGGCGCGCGGGCCCTTCGGCGCGGCCGCGAGACCCTCGGCGACGCGCGCAAAGGGCCGCAGAATCTGCGGCGCGGCCGTCGCCTCGCCCGTGCGCTTCGCGAAAGAAGCGTCACTGCGTCTCGTTTTTCTGGCCCAAGGTGCAGCGAGGACGGCCGCGCAATGAAGCCCCGCCCGCGCGTTGTGCGCGGCGCGCGGCGAGCTCTCTTCCGCGGCCGCGCAGCCCCGGGCGCGCGGGCGTCGCGCGCGGCGCCGAGGATCGCGCGCGGCCGCAGCAAGCCGGCCGGTGCGACGCGCGCGAAGCGTCGCCGAGGATCGCGCCCGCGCGTTGCGCGCGAATGGCCGCCGCGGGGGCCCGCCCGCGCGCTCCGTTCGTGGCCCAGCTTCAAGGACGGATGCCAAATATGCGCGCGACAATTGTTTGAGCCCTGGCCTTCCGTTGGCCACGTGGGGCTGCGTGGGACAGCGATGAAGAAAGAACGGGCAGGCTTGTCCATCACCCTGATAACCATCGACGCGGCCGCCAACTACACGCGGGCCATGCCTCAATCGAGTACGGAGCATGGCCCTCCGATGCAATTTCTGCACCGGCGCAAGAAATATCTGCACGCGAAGCTCGAGTGAGCTGTCGGAGACCAGTGATCTTTGACCTAGCGCTCCGACAGCTCTGCGAGTCGCAGGCCATGGGGCCGACCGAATTTTGGACCAACATTCCTGTGCCAGATGGGACACAGTCTGCCGTGAAATTGTTCGAGACAAGCAGAGTTCTGGCGCCAACTTTGCACCTGCACCAATATATAATTTTTCGGCCGCCGAAAATAATACGACATTGCTTTTCGTAGCCGAACGTTATCTCAACTTTTCCGAATCCATTTGTCGCCGCCAGACTTTACCCAACCTGTGTCCGAACTTTAGGATTCCAGCAGCGCTGCGCTTGAAGTTTGTAAACGCAGCGGGCTCACATTTCTCCGACCTCGGGGTATTTTTACCTAACAGCTCTTGCTGATAGGTTTCTAATGGTCTCAAAACAAATCAGCAGATGACTCCACACGGGGGTCGGGGCGGGACCCGGACAGGCTGCCGCCGCGGCTGCCGCCGAAGCCGAAATCGCTTTGGACATCCTCGGAAAAAAACGCTTTTGGTGCTCCCAGAACTCCATTCCCGGCGTACATTTTGGATGCCCGGAGCCAACTGTAGGCCACTTCGTGCTCTTCGACTTCCCAGAACTTCATTCCCGGCGTACATTTTGGATGCCCGGAGCCAACTGTACGCTACTTCGTGCTCTTCGATTTCCCAGAACTCCATTCCCGGGCCACATTTTGGATGCCCGGAGCCAACTGTAGGCCACTTCGTGCTCTTCAAGTTCCCAGAACTTCATTCCTGGGCATGATTTTGAATGCCCGGAGCCAACTGTAGGCAACTTCGTGTTCTTCTAGTTCCCAGAACTTCATTCTTGGGCCACATTTTGAATGCTGAGGCAGGCTGATGCTGCTGCCGAGGCAGGCTGAGGCTGAGGCAGGCTGAGGCTGAGGCCGAGCTGAAGGCGGACTGAGGCTGAGGCTGAAGCAGACTGAGGCTGAGGCTGAGGCAGGCTGAGGCTGAGGCTGAAGCAGGCTGATGCTGAGGCAGGCTGAGGCTGAGGCTGAGGCTGATGCAGGCTGAGGCTGAGGCAGGCTGAGGCTGAGGCCGAGGCTGAAGGCAGACTGAGGCTGAGGCTGAAGCAGGCTGAGGCTGAGGCTGAGGCAGGCTGAGGCTGAGGCTGAGGCTGAGGCTGAAGCTGAGGCAGGCTGAGGCTGAGGCTGTGACTGCGACTGCCGTTGCCGCTGCGACTGTCATCGCGAATGCGACTACGACTGCGAGAACAGCAGAATTCGACAACTCGATTTTCATCTGGATCTTAAGGGGAATGCTTTCAAATGTGCTTCTACACATCGCTGTTAGGTTGCTTTGCCGGGATAATTTGCACAGGGACAGCTCGCGCCCACTCGGCCTGCTACAGCCCCCGGCGGGGCCCGAGAAAAGCAACCCGAACTGGTCTTTCGGATCCCGTGCCCCAAGACAACCCCCAAGACCGCCGGCTCGCCCCGAGGAGACCCACAAAGGACGCCGCACTGTCCTGCAGAAGCCCTCGAAGAGCTGCTCAGGAAACCCCGGCGAACATCCACGTGGCCTCTGACCGACCACCCCGGCGAGGTGGCGGGATGGACCGCACGCTGCCAACTTCGGCCGGAACTACAGGCTCCCGCGAATGCGACTCTACCTCAAGCCGGGAACGTCTGCAACCACAAACCCGACAGAGAACAAGATAGAAATCGAGCACACGTGACTCCAGAAAGCCTCTGAAGTCACCTCGGCGTTCGGGGCCAAGGCCATTCAGGACCTATTGGTCCTGAGACCGAAACTCGAAACGCCAGGACTGAGATTGGAATGCTTCTGGCCTTCAGAGAGCCCTCGTGCCGTCACGGATGGTCGCAACTCGCTCGCGTCTCGTAGATTGCGGAGACTCGGCGGTGGACAAACCTCCCTTTCGTAACCCCCCCCTTCGTGAAAACGGCCTGGGACCGAAACCGACGGGCCCGGGCCCGCAAAAATGACGGCCACGACGCCCCCTCGCGAACCGAACACGGCCAATTCCTTAGTCGACGTGTCAGGATAGGGGGTCTGTCCACCTCTTCCCGTCCTGGCGACCTTCGGGCGAGGACCTGAAATCTGACAGCAAAACACGGAGCTGCCGCCGGGCTCCACACGCGCACCCCGCGGGGGGGTCCTGCAGGGCCGCGCCGTGCGCAGCAACAAAACCTGGCAGCGAGCGGAGGTCTGTCCACCTCCGAGAGACTGGGGGCCGCTGCGGGACGCATTTGACTCTGCGGCCGCGGCGCGAGCCGCCAGGACGCAGACCCGGGGGCTTCTGGGCTTCGGACAGCCCTCGTGCTACCACGGCTGGGCGCAGTTAGAGGTTTGGGTGCGCCTCCTCCTGCTCCTCCCCTTCCTCCTCCTCCTCCCTCCCCCACCCTCCTCCTCCTCCTCCTCCTCCTCCTCCTCCTCCTCCTCCTCCTCCTCCTCCTCCTCCTCCTCCTCATTCTCCTCCTCGCACGTGGCCGCAGCGCGCCGCGTTCGTCCGCCTACCTGAAGAGCTGATAGCGGACGGCCGAGGCGATAGCCTTGGCGTCCGATTCACGAATGGCAACCTGCTGCAAAGATTGGCGGGCAAGAATGTTATGATAGAGAAGAGTGGCAGCAGCGGGAACGAGGAGGGACTCGGAGGACGGGGAAGCCAAGCCGAGGCGAGCGACAGGGCAGCCAGGCAGCGAAGGGGCGCGGATGATGGAGCAGAGAATGGCCAGGAGGCGCGGACAGGACCAATAGTGGGAGAAAGAGTCTCGGCTTGGGGTCGACAGCCGAGGGAATGCAGCCTAATAGACAAGGGCTGTCGCACTGAAACCGGCGGTCTGTAGTCCACCCGTGAACAAGTAGCTTGAGCACCGCATTACTCTGAGCAGGATGCATACGGACTAAAGCCCGTCGGATCTCCCCCCATGGCCGCGCTCGAACTTCATTCTCGGAAACAGGAGCCCCGGAGGACGCACGGGCAGCACACGCGCCGACCAGAGGGTCGGGGAACATATTTTCGAGCATGGCCAGGCGGAAGTGGCGTCGCGTCTTGGGCTTGGGCCGTCTGCGGCCGCTCGGAGGCGGAGGGGGGGGGGGGGGGCAGGGAAAAACGTGAACGCAGCGGCAGCAGCGGAGGTCAACGGAGCGAGCGAGGTGGGGGAGGACGTGACGAGGCCTTGTCCGACGGGTCTGGGAAAACCAGCCTGGGCATTCTCAGGAAATTTGGCGAGTGAGGCCTGTTGCCAGAAGGGGGGGGGGGGGGGGGGGGGGGGGGGGGGGGGGGGGGAGGCTGGGGGCCGCGGGCGAGGAGACAAACAGGCAAGTGGGTCTCGGCGGAGGCGCGGAGGAGGGGAAGGACAGTCCTCCAGCTCAGGAACGTTTCGAGACTGGCTCTGATGAGAGCCGCAGAGGTAGAGGCGAGCAAACAATCAAACTTCGGGCCGCCCCACTGTTCAAGATTGAGCCAGCCAGACATGGGGGGCGCACAGTGGGCAGTGTGCCACAGACGGGCGAGAAGGGCGGCCTCAGTCCTACCGAAGCCGTCAGGGAGGGGCATGCACTGCGCGACGTAACTCAGGGTCGTCACGCATCTGATGTTGTAGTTGCTGGCAGTCACTCGCGCGGGGCCGCTCACAGCCGCCACTTGTGCAGCACGCAATCTTCATTTTGCCATCGGCGCTGTCCAGCTAGCAAGACAAGCCGCCGGCCCGATATGCATGCCGAGATAAACCTGGGCAGGAACCACCTCAAAGTGTCTCCATTCTGGAATGGCCGAATACAGCCAGGTACGATATCTCAACGCAACATCCCCATCTAAGGGTTCGCCGAGAGGAACGATTTTGCACTTGGCGGCCTTGAAGAGTCAGGGCAGAGATCCTCTCGGCGGCCTTGAAGATCCTGTGGAAGACACGGAGCACGCGGAGGGTCTTGATGGCCGCGCCAACGTCGTCCGCGCAGGCGCGCGCGATCCCCAGGGGCCGATGGTTGACGCTGCGGTCGAAGCCCTGCATGAACGGGTCCGCGCCGACGGCGAACAGGAGGCCAGAGACGGGGCAGCCCTGGACGACGCCGCTCTGGACCAGGTGCATGAGGGTGGGTGGGCCAGAGCCGCACGCTGCGAAGCAGCGGACGCCAAAGAGGAGCTGCGAGAAGAACCAGCAAAGAGCCTCAGGGAGACCACGTCGCGCGAGAACAGAGCATAGCCAATCGTGGGCCACGCTCGGGAAGGCCTGCTGGAAGTCAAAGCTGAGCAGAGATGGCATCAGAGCGGGGGCGCCTTCCTGCATCGAATAGATCCTGGCCATCGCATCCATCTCGACAATGTTATCGCCGAAGCCGCGGGCAGGGGTGAAGCCCCGCTGGACATGGCTGGTGGCTTGGGGGGGGGATCCTCGAGAGCTTCCTGGTCACGACGGCAGTCGCAATTTTGTTATCGCAGTTCTTGAGCCCGAGCGGGCGGAGATTATTAGGAGCTCCAATGCAGCCCTGGGGGGTATCATCGTCCCCGGAGGCCTTCGGGATGAACGCGCCTAGTAGGTCGTTGTACCCAATGGGGACGGGGCTGCCATTCAGGATCCACCACATCATGTCATTCAGGATTTGGGCCGAGAACGGGGGCCTCTGGAACGCCGCGCACGGGGGGCCGTCTGGACCTGGAGCCGAGTGGGGAAGGCGGGTGAGGTAGGTCTGAAAGTCCTTCACCGAGGGCGGGGCAACCTCAGAGACGTCCAAGTGGGGACAGAACCTCTGGAGGTACACCGACGCGGCGTGCATGCCAATGTTTTTGGGCAAGAATGCATCGCGCCAGTGGGAGGAGACCACGCTCGAGAGGATACGACAACATCATTTTCACCACGGATCCCTGCGAGCGTCGTGCGGCGGTCCATTGGCGCCCACAATTTTGCTCGCCGTGAGAGACGCTGGAGCCTCTTCCTCAGTTTGGCCTTGACCTGGCCAGGCGAGGGGAGGGAGGCGGCGGCGCCGATCTCCGCGCGGACGGAGCTCTGCTGGCTCTCCGCGTCTGCATACTGGAGCTCGTCCAGCCAGAGAGAAAAACGTGCAGGATCCGACAGAGCAACCCTATCATCTTCACGAACATCCAAAAGATCTTGAGCCAATGGGCAACGAAGAAGACGCGAAGCTAATTTATGATCTTGACGCCATACAGCCCGAGAAATGGACCTCATGAGGATCAACTTGGAGGCTATGTTGCGGGGGTCCTTGGAGAGCAAAGCGTTTCTGGCGTAACGGGCGCCTTCTCGAAGCACCTTCTTGTAAAGCTCGAGGGCCAGAGGGGGACTGAGCTCGGCGAGGTCCAGGGAGGGCCAGAACTCCTCAACGCATCTCTGGAAGTCAGGATGCAACGCGCCTCGGGACGGGCTGGTCGTCGGGGTCAGGCGGAGGGCGAGCGCGGAGAACAGCTGTGACACGGGCGTGATCACTGGTTTTGCGCTGCTCAAGGGTCTCAGGAAGGCCCCTAACTTCAGCAACCATATGCATAGCGGAGACGATCCAGCCTGGCCACGAGATAGAGATCCTGTCGATGGCGGAGGCGCGACGGCGAGAGCCGTTGTAGCGGGTGTGCTCGGCTGGATCCAATTCGACCAAGCGTGCAAAGAGAAGCTGCCAAGGAGACCGAAGCTGTCGCCCCCACGCCGGCTCAGATGGGCCCTCGGCAGCACCCCCCTCCGAAGGCATTTCGGGCCGCGGAGGTGCCCGAGAGAGGTTGAAGTCGCCGACAACGACGACGAGGTAGTGCTCTGGGTCCGACAGGGCGAAAGCGAGCTCCGACTCGATAGTACGTATGATCCTGTGCGTGTCATGTGTGCAAATGTCGTGGTTATGCATGTTGAAGTGCGAGATGCAGTGATAAGAGTCGGACCCAGACTGCACCCGAGGACCTAAGAAGAATTTAGTATGGAGTGCTCGACCGCGAACCAGTTAGTTCCTTGACATAGACCGAGGGCCCGTAGCCTGGGAAGGAAGACGGGGGAGGGAAGAGAGCGACGACGCCGCCCTTGTTCGAGACGGGGAGGAAGGAGGAGACCGCTGAGTACTTCATAATGGACATGTGCAAAAAACATGTCAAGGTCGAACCTGCTCCCGTGAGCCTCCTGGAGGCCAATGATCCTGAATCAGCGGAACACTCCCAGGAAAAAGTTCTGTTTCGCTGTCCGCACTCTTTGGCAATGATGAAATAGAGCTCTCGCATTCCACGTGGTCAGCCCGAGCTCTGGGGAGGATGGGCCTCCCGTCTTCAGGAACCACTTGTTAAAGACGCCACTGGGCAGGCGCAGAGGGAGCGGAGCTCGAGCTGGACGAAATAGCCTCGACAATCCTAGGTTCGACTGCAGCCCGATCGAGGCCCTTCGCGCGGAGGTTGTCTTCCTCCCATTCAACGGTCGGCATCTCACTCGGCTTCGGGGTGATGCGGAGGAGGGGCTTCCACTCGCAGCTGACAATGCCCGTGGACTTGCCGGCGTGGGGCGTGGGGTTGGGGCCGAAGGAGGAGAGAATTTTGCGGGCCTGCTTGGTCGCGAGCTCGCGGCGGACTTGGAACAGGTTCTTGTCCTCGGAAACGTGCAAGTCGACTGGCTGGCCAGTCGGTCCTCGCGCCTGCACGCGGCGGTAGGAGCCGTCGTCGAGGCGCATGTTGGAGAGCGCCTGGGGCACCATGCGCAGCCCAACCTGGCGCGCCCTTGATGCGGATGGTGAAGCGCTTCGCGGCGGGGTCGCCCTCGACGCGCCAGCCGCCCTCTTCGAAGTTGGAGTCCGCCAGCCAACGGGCAACTGCCTGGGGGATGGCCTCACGTGAAACTATCTCAGCAGCACGAACGACGAGGATAAATGGGTTGGTGCGCCGCTCGAAGCCGCCGCCGCTGGGCGGGGCAGCAGGCGGCTCGTCGTTCTGTACGGCGCATAGGGACTTCTTGAGTTCGGCGATCTCCTTCGCCATGATGTCCATTCTGGAACTGAACGTGTTCTGGCTGGCCTCCATCCTGGCGGGCCTTGCCTCAATCTGTTGGCAGAGACCACCGACGTGTGCCGTGACAGAACGATTGAGCTTGAGCATGGTGGCCAGCAGGGTCTGCATGGCCGAGAGGATCTCCTGCTTCTGGGCATCCACGTAGGATCGAACATCGCCGTCAGGGAGAGAAGCAGGAGTAAGATGGTCGCCATCACATGATTGCTGCGACGGGAACGTGGGGACGGCCTCGAGCTGGCGCTCGAGCTCCTCGACCTCGGAGGCGGCCATGACTGAGATTCTCGTGAGGCAGTCTGGTCCGCCTTTGCCGCGGCCCTCGGTGCGCGGCTGCTTGTGCTCGGGAGAGCGGGAGCCACGGGCCTCGCCATGCGGGGGCATCTGACAGAGGGAGGAATGGGCGTGTGTCCGCCAGCCCTTGACGGCTGGATAGCTCGGAAAGAGCTGCCTCGCTCAACCTCGGGCCTGTCCCGAACCTTGAGCCAAAATGGCAACGGACCTCCTCATTCTCCTCCTCCTCCTCCTCCTCATTCTCCTCCTCCTCCACCTCCCCCTCCTCCTCCTCCTCCTCCTCCTCCCTCCTCCTCCTCCCACTCGACTCCATGCGAGCATCAGGGTTGACCCCGAGAGGTTTGAGAACCGATTTGGAGCGGCACGGGCCAAATCTGATGTCGGAGTGACTCTGAAATCACCTGGGCGTTTGGGTCGGACGTCTGGACTGTCATCTTCCTCTTGCTCCACTTCCTCCTCCTTCTCCTCCACTTCTTTCTCCGTTTCCTTCTTCTCCTCGTCCTACTCGTTCCTTCGTCTTGCTCATTCCTGGCGGGGGCCGCCAGCCTTGGTGGGATACACGTGAGAACGCTCCCTCGCTCATACGCAGAAAATAAGCCGACACCTTCCTCAGAACGCAAACCAAGCACATAGGAAAAGAAACGCAAACTCGCGAAGAGGAAGCGCAGCTCCTCCAGGACACCCTGCACAAAGACGCCGGGCACTGCAAGGGAAATGCCCCGCAACGGCAATCGACTGTCCAAACACGACCTAGAGTGCGCCCCAGACGTGCCCCACAGGCAAAAATTCCGTCGGACCCCCTAAGATACCCCTCAGAAAAGAAGGCGGGCGCGGATGTGGCGCAAGCCTCAAGAATGGGAGAACAGAAAACGGCACAACCATCAACTGTTGGAGTTCCCCGCGGATTTTTTGCATCCGCGCCGGATCCCCCCTCCCTGGCGGGCGGGGCGCGCCAGTGGTGGCGCCAGATGCGCGCCAGGGGGTCCCAAGCGCCGATCCAAGAAATCCGCCGGTGCATTCGACCGTTTATGCTTGCATCGTTTCAACAATCAACGGTCTACAGAAACGTCCATCGCGCGACTCTTCGAGTCTACACGCGCTTCTCGTCATCCGCCGGGGCACTCAACAGTTTATTTTTATATCGTTTCCTGTGATTCCAGTACCTTGAAGGGGCCCTGGGACACACAAAGAAATACACACAAATTCGCCGGCCCAACGGGCCAGAGGCGTGCTAAGATCTCCGGCAACTGGTTAACAATATTCTACTTCGCGCGCGCGGGGCGGCCCCTGGGGGTCCCCTGGCGAAAAATACCCCGGCAAGGTCCCGGCAGGTCCGGGTCAGAGATGCCAGACCGGGCAATTTTTCGACACCCCTCACGAGGAACGTGGCCTCCGAGGGGGGAGCCGCACTCGACTACCCCCCCTCCCGCCCCAAGAGGCCCCCAAGAGCCCCCCAAGAGGCCCTGGGGGCCCCCAAGACGCCGCCAAGGAGCCCCAAGAGACTCCCAAGAGGTCCCCAAGAGGCCTTAAAGAGGGCTGCAGGGCCGGCGGAATGAGCGAAGCGATTCCGCCACACAAGGGTTTCCTGTGATTCCAGTACCTGCGGAATTGGACGCCCGAGTTATCCGGGGTAACTCGGGTCTGGGGTAACTCGGGCTTGGGTTCCCGAAAAACGAACCCGAGTTAGACCTGACCCGAGTTACCTCTGATGATTCGGGGTGGACGCCCGAAATATCCGGGGTAACTCGGGTCCGGGATAACTCGGGTTCGGGCTCCCGAAAAACGAACCCGAGTTAGCCCTGACCCGAGTTACCCCTGATAATTCAGGGCTCTGGCGGCACGCGGTGTGCCTCCAGGCAGCTGGTGGCCCCGCACGTGCCGAGCACTGTTTGGAGGATTCCCAGCACACCTCCTGGCCTGGCCTGCGGGCACTCCGCGGCGGGCACCTCGTTCTCTCATCGCCCTCCTCCTCTTCCTCCTCCTCCTCCTCTTCCTCATACTTCTCCTCCTGCTCCTCCTCCTCCTCCTCCTCCTCCTCGCTGGGAACCCAGGCCTCCAACATTCTGGGAACAGACCACGTCATGAAAATCAGCTTTCCGAGGTTCGGGCGGATTTCTCAGATCGGCGCTGGAGCCGCCCCTGGCGGCGCCTCTGGCGCCGCCCCTGGCGCGCCAGGGAGGGGGGAATCCAGCGCCCATCCGAGAAGTCCGTGCGGACCTCCTCTGTCATCATCCGCTCCTCGAAACATGCTCCAGGGTGGCCCCTGGGGCCACCGCTGGCGTCCTTTGGTGCTCTGGGAGTTCCGTGGGCTGTCCCCAGGGGCCCTGGGAGCCAGCTCAGACCACCTGACAAGAGAGCCCCGAGAGGGCGCAAGAAGCTCCGAGGAGCCGATTCTTGAATTGTCTTTGAAATCCATCCTTAGTATTTGCATTACTCGCGATTGCGCCCGCGACCGGCCCCGCCCGCCACTCCCCCCGCGTGGTCACGTCACGATTCGCGCCGACGCCGTCTGGGAATGAGCCATTCCCAGGCACTCTCCATTCCCAGCATTCCCCAAACGGCGCCAGCGCGAATCGCGACGTGACCAGCCCCATCATCCCCCTCCCCCCCTCCCAGACAGTCCTGTTATTGCCGGGAAGGATCGAATGAACTGTCTCGAGAGAGCCCCAATTCGTCTAAGAGGCCCTGAACCCGGGAGTGGCCGAATTGCCCATGACTAGAACCTGCTTGTGCTGATTTCTCCTTGCGCTTGACTAGTGCCCGCCCTCCATCTCCGCCAGAAAGGGGCGAGGCCCCGCCTGCCAGATAGTGAGGTGGCTTGGAGTGGGTGCCCCACACGCGGCCCCGAGACCGTCGCCATTAGGGCGCGCCGTGGCAAGCAAGCGCGTATGCGTCGAAGAGTGGCAGCGAGGCGGTGCAGGCTACAGCCCGCCCCTACGCGCAGCTGCCATCGTCCACCGTCGCAGGCGCTGGCCAACTCCAAGGCGTCCCTCTGCCGCCGGCAGCCACTCGGCGGCGCGCGCGAAAAGCCGAGCTCGCGGCGGCAGACATGGCGCGCTCTCCGGCATCTCCATCTTTGCGGGGATGCGCGAAGCGCCAGGGACTTCCATCTGCCTGCAAGCAAATTCAAAATCCGCCAGCGCACTGCAGGCACTAAGTGGAGTGTCCTTCGTCGTCCCTGCACGGTGAGGGCATTGGATCAGGAATCCTTAGATGAGAAGTCCAGGGTCTGGAAGCCCGTGAAACACCAATTGAAGCTTGGCCATGGATATCACCGCCGCCCTCACCAGATAAGGTATTATCCACGGTCTGAAGCCTCCTGGGCACGTTCCTTAACGAACGCCTCAACCGTATTGAGTTGTGCAGGTGCTCTTTCAGGAGCCCAGGGGCAAACATTCCCAGCAATCTAGGGCGATCTCGGGGCGGCTCGCATCGCTCTGTTTCACAAGCTGCTCGGCCCCGGAGGGGGACGGACGCAAATGACAGGATGGCCCCCGAGACCGCCAAGAGGCTCCCAAGAGGCCTCGAGGCGCCCCCAGAGTCCCCAGGCGGCCTCCACAAGCCCCCCCCCTCAGGAGACCTCCAACAGAGCCTCAAGAGGCTCCAGTAGGCCTCCAAGAGACGTCGCAAGGGAGGACTCTGGCCCACAGTCGGGGCACGGCGGCGGGATGGGCCGAAGACCACTAGCCACTATATACAAAGTGGCCTGCTGTTCTCTGAACCGCCTGACCTCTGAGAGTAGCCAGCAAACACTTCTAGAAAGATGTGTGGTCATCATGGCGAGCGACGCTCTCTGCCGGCAAGCTCCTGTCTCTGAGAAAACAGGGCGCACGCGCCAGATGCATTGCTAAAGTTTTGCATGTATCGATCGATCCCCCGTCCCCCTCCTGCTCCTCCTCCTCCTCCTTCTCCTCATCTCCCCCCCCCACCTCCCCCCCCTGTGGCGCAGGCATCCTGCCTGCGCGTCGCTGTCCACTCTCAGAGGAGGTCGCCGTCGTCCGCGAACCTGACCTTCAGACTCAGGCGCTGCAGCCGAGCCGCCTCCACAGTCTGGACAGCGCCATCACGCGTCCTGACCTTGCATAGCCCCCTGGCGTGGTCCACCGTGAGGACCCTGGCCCTGCACGCACCGTGCCCGTGCCCGTGCCCGCCCTGGGCCGCCGTGACGGCGACCAGGCAGCTGGGGATCAGCAGGGCGCCTTCTCGGCGTGAAGGAGACAGGCCCCGAAGGAACGGGCCCTCGATTGACGAACCAACAACACACACCCATACCCACAGGGGGGTCGGAGAGGGCTATGGGTGCGTGTTGTCGGATGGGGGTCCCCGCTCGAACGGGAGCGTTCCCCAGGGTCCGACAACCCGCACCCATACTCATAGCCAGTCCTCCTCCAAACGACCCCCCTACGGGTATGGGTGTGTGTGTGTGTGTTGCTCGTTCGTCATCGATCCCAGGACCAGCTGCTGTATGCAGCGCGCCCGGGGGGAAGTGAGAAGGGGCGGGCCTTCTCGGAAGGCTCGGAAGTTCCCTCGCCTTCTGAGAAGTGTTCGAAGCCTTCCCCGAAGGCACACAAGACACCTTTCAGAAGGCGCGAGAAGTCCCGCCGCCTTCTGAGAAGGCCTTCTCCTTCTCGCTTCCCACCCTCGCTCGCCGCCGATTTTGATCCAGTAACTACAATTCCTTGACAACCACGGGGCCTGTGGGGGGGCCCTGGTGGCCCGGCGGCGGCGAAAAAACATTCGGCCCCCCTTCCCTCGGAGCCCGTTTGCTTCATGTCAGGGGGGCCCACGGGGAGACAAAACCGTGTGCGCGTCCAGCCGCGTACACGAATGTGCCCCCCAACAAGTACGGCCCCCACCGCGAGTCCAGCCTCGTGTTGCGAGCACTCGCGCAGCGCCCACTCTCGAAACACAACGCATGATGTACGTCTCCTCCCACGAACAGCTTGTCTGGAATGACTGTGTTGCTTTCTCCCACTCTGTCTCTTCTTCTCTCTGACTCTCTCTCTCTCTCTCTTTCTGTATTTCTTTCTTTTTGTATCTTTCTGTCTTTCTCTCTCTCTCTCTCTCTCTTTCTGTGTCTCGCTCTCTCTCGTTCTGCCTCTCTCCCTCCCTCCCCCCCCCTCCCTCCTGCCGTGCTGCCTGCGTGCCACGGTGAGAGGGGCCTACCAGCGTCCGAAGGCGGCGGCCCGTCGCCCCCCCGTCGACGCCCCCGCGCGGCGCTGTTGTGCGGCAGGCTCGTGCCGCGCCGCCTTCGGCGTTGGGCTCTCTGACGCCGCGGGGACCGTTCCGCCTGGCATCCGTCAAGGGCGCGCAAACAAAATGATGCCCCACATTTTCCCATATGTTCTGGGTGTTTGTCTTCCCGCCCAATTGCCATAGTTTCCCATATTCTCGTGGGGATCGACGATTAATTGTGACCGTGTTTTTGTCCCCTCCTGAATCAGGTCGGGCATGCCCTCCTGCAAGCGGATTCTGGGGGAAAAAACAACAATAGCCGAAAGATGCTCCAGAATATGCCCCAACATGGCGAAAACATCGTCCCCCGACTATTTTTGTCAACTGTTTTGGATCTTCCTCCTGTCGAGGGACAGGTCCGACTGAAGCCTGGCACGATCGGTCGCTTCCGAAACTGAAGCGGCCCTGGGACACACAACTAAATACGCACGAATAACAGGATTCGCCAGACTTTCCCATATTTTCTGGGTGTGTGTGTGTCTCCCCCCCTCACTTCCCATATTTCCTCGCGTTTTCTGGGAATCGACGATTCATTGTGTCTGTGTGAATCTTCCTCGTTGTCGGCGGCGTCGTCGTCGTCGTTGGGGCTGTCGTCGTCGGCGTCGCTGTCGTTGCCAAGTGCCATTTGGTACCCACCGTCACGGTCTCAAGAGATTCTGTAAGCCAAGTTGCGGGTGGGTGGGTGGGATGTTTGCGCGAGCAGTGGAGTGGACAACTCACTGCGAACAGAAATTAATCTTCCTCCCTCAGAAGCGTCAGACCGTTCCGCACCGACCGACTGCGGGCCGCCGGCAGCGTTCCACGTGGCACGCCGGCGGCGGCCTTCGCCGCCAGTCGACGCGGCGCGAGCCTGCCGTGCAGCGGAGGCCAGACCACGAGAGATCTGCAACAGGGAGCCCCCAGCAGTGCTGAGCCTAAACGACAACGACGACGACAACGACGACGGCCACGGCCACGACGACAACGATGACGACGACGACGACGACGGCGAAGACGACGACGACGACAGGAGCGAGAGAAGCGCGAGGGGGGATGCAAACTGGACTCTAAAAGGGCACATGCGGGGGCTGGCTCGGGGCGTCTTAGGAGGGCGATGTGGGATCCCAGGGCTGAAACTCAACGGTGTTTTTCGTTTTCGTTTTGTTTTCGTTCTCCCTTGTTTTGTCTTCCATCCGCCTTTCACGCAACACGACATCGAGACGAGAACGGCCCACGAAATCGCCAAAACACCGTTTAGGTCCACCCCTGAAACCCAGCCCTGAGGCCCCGGGGCGTCCATCGAAATTTTTGGCGTGGCAACGCCGCGCTTCCCATGGCACAAAAATCGGGTCGGGCGAAACGGGGGGATAGCAAAGGGGGGCTTGAGAATCAGCTCACGCAGCTGATTTTCCCGGCGCCTCCTGGCGGCGGGGCCGAAACCAGCTGCACGCAGCAGATTCGCACCCCCCCCTTTCCCTGTCCCCCCCTTTTCGCCCGGCCCGAAAAAACCATCGACACCCACAACACCCAGGGCGCCCTGGAGTGGAGGCAGGGTGCTTCTCGGTATTGGGGGCCCCCACTGCAGGGCCCCTCTGCCGCAAGGATGACGCGCTCGCCGCCCCGAGCCACCGCGGCCTGCGCCGGGCATCCCTGGCCGCCGCAGCCCCCCCCCCCCCCCGAGGCCCCGCCGAGCCCAGGCAGCCGATGCCTCGACTCTCCGACACGCGGGGCCCACAGGCCGGCGACTCCGAAGGGCGCGGCCTGCAAGGGGCGCGCGCAGCAACGCGCACCCCGGGGGGGGGCGTGCGCCCCGAGGAGGCCCGACGAGGGCAGCGCGGTGCCCCCCCCCAGGCCTCGACGACGCAGGTCGCAGCCCACGCCCCGGCAGGGCCACGCCCTCTCTGTGGCCGCCGAGCCGAGGTCCCGACCCGCTCCCGGGGCCGGCCTTCGCTCCCGAGTCGGTTCTGGACACTCCCGGGGCCCGGCGAGGGCCCCCGGAAGCCGAAAGCGGTGAGAAAGCGTCGCCTCGATCTTGCCACGACGCGGGAAGAGTTGGTCTTCGGGTGGTCACGCGGATCTCCGGCAAAGGACCACCAGGGCACCCCCGGAACGCTCTCGGCGAGGCGCAGCTGCTGGAGAGCATCCCCAGGCTGGGAACCCTCCCAAGAACCGAGGAAGACAGCCGAAAACTAACCAAAAGCGACGAAACACCTCCGCAGCGATGTTTCTAATGCGTTGAAGGCACTTCTTTTTCAGAGTCTGGCAATGAAGGGAGGGGCGTGGTGATGCCCGAAGGGAAATCTGGACTTCACGAAAGTTGGGACTTACTTGCAAGCCCTTTCGGCACAGTAAGATATGAAAAGGCTGCATAACGGGGGGGTGCCAGGCAAGTAAGCTTGCCCGAATCTAAAGGAAATAGGGCGATAATGACGTCATGCTAGGATTGCCTCAGGATGCGTTCCAGGATGTCTTAGAATACCGAACGGCCCTCGCTTCTGCAACCCGAGCGTGTCATTAGCACGTCTAGGAAGACCAGGAAATCTCAGAGACGTTGGAAGGCATCATTCTCATTACATATCCCTCGCTGAGAAATCATCAGCCTCCTGCTTGCACGACCGCAAGGGGTACGGCAAACAATCGTACGATGCCCAGCAGCAGAGGTGGTGGTCAAAATCCGACAACGGCCGCTGCTGGGCAGGCGGCCTCCCGTCTCGAGTGGACCACGGCCGCGGCCCACGCCGACAGCGAGCCCTGTTCAGAATGCACCAGGCCTGCTGCTGGACTCTGTACCTCCAGAGGACGATCCTGGGAGCCTTTCCTAATCACCTGAGTGGCCGCAGTGGCTCCTCCTATGGCCACCATTGGACCCTGGCGGCCCCCCAAAAGCCTAGAGCCGCCTCCAGTATCTCCTCCAGTGGCCCCCCGCGGCCTCCGATGGCCTCCAATGGCCTCCCGTAGCCCCCGGTGGCCTCCCGTAGCCCCCAGTGGCCTCCAGTGGCGCGAGCAAACGACTGTGGACCCCTGAAGGCGCAGGAAAGCCAGGCCAGATGACAACACAAGGCTCCCAGGATCGTCCTCTGAATGCACCCGCTGCTTCCGCACCCACGCCGATCGTGCCGATCAGGTGCCCTTCTCGGGCCCTGGAGGCCCCCTATTGGGCCCTCCAGGCTCCCCCCATGAGGGGCCCCAAAGTGCCCCTTTTCTGTCGCCTTCGCTGCCCCCCCTCCCCCCCTTCCTCGCCCCCCGACCGCGCGCCCTCCAACCCGCTACCGCTACGCTCTGGACCTCTCCCGGGGTGCGTTCTGACCAGGATCTCCTGGCGCGGATCCAGCGGTGGCGATGAGGGCCGCCCAGGAGGCCCAAACAGGGGAAAGCGAGGGAGAGGTGGAGGTATGGGTATCTTTCCCTCCTCCGAACCTCTTGCTGAGAAAAGAACCCTTGAGAAACAACGATGGACTGGCATAGGGCATAGGGGGGATGCATCGACCTGGAATCGACGATACATCGTCGATAGATCGGCGACAGGCCCCCGATCATGAAACCGAACCTTCCTGGGCGGGTTTGGGCCGTCGGGCCCCTTCGGCGATACATGGGCGATTGGGGGTCGATGCATCCCCCCCTATGCCTATCCCCCAACACTGCCCCTTGGATTTCGGGCCATAAATCGGCTCTCAGGCGGCCGTTCGAGACGATCCCGGCATTCCTGGAACACTCTCGGCGAGGCGCAGCTGCCGAAACCCATCCCCAGGCTGAAAAATCGCCGAGAACCGACGAGAAGCCCCGAATACTTGGAAACTCGAGACTGTCGCTGCCTATGCCTATCCCCCCTGTACCTTTGTATTCCCCCCTATCGTTGGCATTGACGCCTTTCGGCTACACGCAAGAGTGGCCCCGGGTAAGAGTGACCTTTGGTGCGCGGCTGCTGGGGGGGCCGCGGGGAGACCTAACTGAAGCGCGCAAGACGCTTCTATGCCATCGCGCTCGACGATCGGGGGGCCCCCATGGGCCAGCACCCGAGGCCACTCTGGCAAAGGGCCACCCCTACGTGCAGTCGAACCATTCCGGGGGGTCCGGGACTGGGCCCGGGCCCAGCGCCTCCGTCGCGCGCCGCCTCCGCGGCCTCGCCGCCTCCCGGCCGGCCGCTGGCCGCCCTCGGCCGCGCGGCGGCGGGCGCCCGGGGCCGCTGACGCGGGTGGCCTCGGGCGTTGCTCCAACGGGGGGGGGCGCGCACCACGACGACGACGACGACGACGACGACGACGACGACGACGACGACGACGACGACGACGGCGGCGGCGGCGGCGGCGGCGACGACGACGGCGGCGGCGGCGGCGACGACGACGACGACAGTGGTGAGAGGCTGGACGGGTGACAACACACACACACACAACCCCACACACAAGAACACACACACACACACACACACACACGCACACGCGCACACGCGCATAGACACACACACACACAGAAACCCACACACACGCACGCACACGCACACACGCACGCACACGCACACACACGCACGCACACGCACCAACGCAGTATGGCTGGCGGCGTGGCCTGGCCCAGGCGGCGTCGCCCGCGGCGTGGCCGGGCCCAGCGCCCCGCTCCCGCTGCGCAGGCGCTCCGCGCGCTTCGCGCGCAGGAATCGGCCCCCGAAACAGGCCGGGGGCGCCGTCCGCGGGGCCCCCTGGCAGGGGGGAGGCGCGCCGACGTCAACGTGTTCGGGACCAGGGCTTCGGAGGGGCCATGCGGGCCGCTGCAGAGATGGGGCGTCGCGTGGGGGGGGGGCCCGAGAATCGTCGTCGAGCACAGGCGCACGCCCCTTCCTATATGCAGAAACTCCCGATCCACCGCAGAGCGGCCGGCCAGGGCTACAGACCAGGAGCCCCCTGAGAGCCCCTGAAGGGGCCCTGCATGGAGGGCCCAGAAGGGAGGCTTCAGGGCCCGAAAAGTGCATCGTTCTCCCCCCCCCATCCATCCCACCAGCCCTCTGGGCGTAGGTGGTTTAGAGAGTCCCACCTAAGCCCTCTGGGCTTAGGCGGTATGACGCGTCATGTTCTTCTCTCTTCCACTGAAACCCCTCCCCCTACCCCCGCCCCTGGGCCTGAACGGGGCGCGCCGCGAGGCGCTAGAGCGTCCAAGATGGCCCAAGATTACTCCAAGAGGCGTTCAAAGTCGCAAGATGGCCTCCAAGATGGCCCATGTTACGTCAAGATGGGTCAAGGTAGCCTCCGACCTACCCCCAAGAGGCCCCAAGACAGCCCCAAAACAGATCCAAGTGCCCTTCGAACCCTCCACGGCGCTCTCCAAGATGCCAAAACCCTTCAAAAGCCTAGGGAAAATAAATGTGTTTGGCATTCTCGCCTTTTCGCTTCCGATGGGCTTTGGAAGCCTCAAGATGGCACCATGATGGCCCAAAAGGGCCCCAAGAGGGGCCCTAGAAGGCCGAAGACGGCCCCCAGATCGCCCAAGAGGCGCCCAAGAGCGCTCCAAGACGGCCCCAACACGCCGTTTGAGAGCCTCCGAGGGGGGGATCCGAGTGAAGGCGCCTCCTCTTTTTGAGACATGGGGCCCAAGATGGCCCCAAGAGGCCTCCCAGCCTCTCCCAAAGACCCTCCACCCCGCCCTTTTTGGCATCCAAGAGAGCCCTAGATAGCCCAAGAGAGCCCAAGATAGCACAAGATAGCCAAGCATGGCTCAAGATAGCCTCCGACAGACCTCCAAGAAACCTCAAGACAGCCTCAAGATGGCCCAAGATAGCCGAGCATGGTTCAAGATAGCCTCCGACAGCCAGTAGCCGAGCATGGCTCAAGATAGCCTCCAAGGAGGCCTCAAGAAAACTGACAATCAATTCTGGATGGGCTGGTGGGGATACTTTTTTGATCTGCGGCTCCAAGGACGATTCCAGAGAGCGGGTCGGGCCCTGGTGGGGATACGCGAAGCGTCAAGAAATTCCTCCACCCCTCCTTCTTCCCCTTCGGGGAGGGGTTTACCCCTACCCCTTCCCCCCTCCCCTGGACCTGGACGGGGGGCGCCGCGAGCGGTCAGAGCGTCCAAGATTGCCCAAGACGACTCCAAGAGCGCCTCGGAGAGCCCAAGATGGCAGGGGGGAGGCGTGCATAAGACGAGGCCAGGACGAGGATCAATTCGGGTGGGGATACGTCGAGAATCTCTGAGACACGGCGGCTCTCGGGCGCCGCGGCCTTCTCAGAGCGTTCTGCAACGCTGTGGAACGAACTTTCCTCGAACTAGCCCCGCCCGATCGGACGTAGGACAGAAAAACATGCTTCAAGAACCTGAGTCCCTCTCCGGGCCAAATCACACGGAGCATCCAAGGCTACCCTCCCCAGGATTCACAAGAACATCCAACAACCACGAAGACCATGTGGGCACCCTTCCCGAACCGACCTCGATCTTAGACCTCGGTCAGACAGACTGTAGGCGGTCGACATTTTTGAAGGGGCCCTGGGACACACAAATAAATAGACACAAATGACCGGATTCCCCATATGTTCCCATATGTTCTGGGTTTCTGTCTCCCCCCCCACTTCCCATAGACTCCAATCTCTTCTTGGGAATCGACGATCAATTATGTCTGTGTGTTTTTCCCCCTCCCGAATTGTGTCCATGCCCCTGCGCGCGACCCCGACTCCACGAGGAGCCAGAGCGGGAGCGCGGACACATTCCGGGCCCCCGAGGCCCATGTATTCCAATCTTTTCTTCCCCCACTTCCCATATATTCCAATCTTTCCTGGGGAATCGACGATTAATTACATCTGTGTGTGTTTTTTTCCCCTCCTGAATTGTGCCCATGCCCCCGCGCGCGACCCCGACCCCACGAGGAGCCAGAGCGGCAGCGCGGACACATTCCGGGCCTCCGAGGCCCACGCTTCTTTGTGACTACCTACCAGACCACCCCAACCCAACCCGAAGACCCGAACTTCGGGTTGGGGGGGGTACGGGCTTCATATGTGTTTTCTCGATGTCCCCCGACCCCCCCCCCCCCAACTGGAAATGGAGGGCAAACTCGGGCCTTGGGGTTGGATTGGGGTGGTTTGGTGGGTGGTGCATGTTGCCCATGCCCCCGCGCGCGACCCCGACCCCACGAGGAGCCGGAGCGGGAGCACGGACACATGCCGGGCGCCTCCGAGGCCCACGCTTCTCTGGCCCTGCCCTGCCCCCCCCCCTGGCGCGCAGGAGCGGGGGGACAGCAGCAGCGCTGCAGGTCGAGCTGGGAGGCCCGGAATTTGGCACTGACACCAACACAGGGGGTTGCCTCCACAGGGGGAAGCTGATCCTCGATTTCGGTGTTGGTGGTAATATTTCGGTCACTTTGGAAGCCAGAATATTACCACCATCACCGAGATCGGGATCCCCTTCCCTCGGTGGAGGAACACCGCCGATACTGGTGTTGGTGTCAACCTCTAGGCCTGCGACGAGCGTCGATCGTCGAAGGCAGGCCACGAAACCGAAGCCAGGAACGAGGCCAGGTCGATCGTCGAGGGCAGGTCGTCGACAGAGGGAGAGGGGCCCTGGACCAAGCCAACGCCGGGCACGGGACAAGGTCGGATCGGGACAGGTCGGGTGTCGGTGATCTGGCCATCGCTCGGACGTCCAATCTGTGTGTTTTTGTTTTCGGTTTCGTGCGTGCTTTTTTTTGTGCCAAATGATCAAGGATGCTCCTCGAGGGCCCTCGCCGAGAGAAACATGCACACGTCCGAGCGATGACAAGTGATGCCCTGCGGCTCTGGGAGATGTGCCGGGCGCCGCGGCCCCTCCGGAGCGCTTCGTCCTGGTCCTGGCCCCCGCCAGACCATCTGCAGTTACCAGCCCGGAACACATCCCTATCCCTATGTTCGGCATCGCCTCATCACGATGGCGATCTTAGGGATCCCCTCAGTTTCTGAGGGTGCATCCCTAAGACTGTCATCGCCTTTTGGCGTGTCAATCTCAGGGATAGGGATAGGTTCGAGGCTGGTGATGCAGGGCCCTCCCGCAAGACCAACCCCTTCATCCCGAGCCGCTCTCTGGCGGCTCCCGGGGCCCGCGCAGGGCCCCGCGGGCCCCGAAGGCGGCGGAAACACTCTCCGTCGCAGAGCGCGGCAGCAGCAGTCCGCACGCGCGCTCAGCAGGCCGGGGAAAAAAACATGGCGAATTGCCCGGGTGCAAGATAGAAGAGGAGCTGGAAGAGGGGCGGCCGCGGGAGGAAGGAAGGGGACTGGCGCGCGGCGGAAGCACTGTTTGCGTCGGCAGCTAGGCAGAGTCACTGCGCTGGCGAAAGAAGCGTGGTGTACGCGAATTAGGCAGAAGAGCCCACAATCGAATCGATAAGTCGGGTCGGCGTTCGGAATGAATCGGATCGGCGGAAATCGGCAGCCGAGTCGAGAAAAGTCGAATCGGCGGAAATCGGCAGACTAATAGGCCTCCGTTGAGCAATCGGAGCCCAAAATCGAAATTCAAGGTCGAATCGAATCGGAATCTGAGACCATCGGGATCGAATCGAATCGAATCGGAGGAATCGAAATGAGCCCTACTCAGGCCACCACACAACGCAAGAGGAGGGGGAGGAGGCGCCCGGAGCGCGGCGGAAGTACACTGAGCGACGGAGAGAAACGGTCCGACGCGAGATGGCACAGACAGTCGAGGCGTTGACCCAAGGAACCCCGAATCAGGAACGAGGCCCCTGCTTCCCTGAAGTTCAACTTCGATCCCCCATGGAGCAACCTAAGGAACACCCGAGGCAAGCTGTAATGCGATCAAGGGACACCGAGGAGGAGGAGGAGGAGGAGGAGGAGGAGGAGGAGGAGGAAGACCCCTCCCCAACGAGAAGCGTTCCTTCTTCCGGGCCCCGACGGCAGCGACCTTTGCGCGGCGGCCCACGCAGGCCGCCAGGGCGGCACGCCGCCGTGGGGAGGAGAGGGCGCGCACGCGCCGCCGCCGCCGCCGCCGCCGCCTCCTCCTCCTCCTCCTCCTCCTCCTCCTCCTCCTCCTCCTCCTCCTCCTCCTCCTCAGCCCCAAGCACACGTACCGAACGATTCTCGGGGCGACGCGCGCCCCCAGGCATGTCCTTGCACCTGCCTCGACACACCCCCTCGTGAAGTGTGTGCCTCGGGCGGCCATGTTGCTGCGATGTTGTGCGTGGAACCCGTTATCGATGCGGCAGGCGGGCAGATGGCAGGACGTGCTGAAGCAGATGAGTTGTCAAGCAATTGCTCTTGCAGGCACGCAGTGTGGGACAGATCTACCGCGTGCGCAAGACAGGATAGGCAAGTACCACAGGTTCCAGTGGGGCAGGAGTGCAGGCAATGCTGGTCGTCCGACGGGGTGTCCACTTCTCATCCGTGATTGCATTTTCGACAGCAAGCAGATCCGTCGAGTCTGGGAGTTCACTGGCACTATGCAGGGCAGGCTGGGGGCACAACGCTGTAAATCCACGGTGAGCGATATCACGTTCATTGTCGCGTATGCACCCGTGGAACCCCCAGGTGGTGCTGGACGGGCTGCAACTCTTCGCGTTTGTCAGCAATCCTGGAGGTGTTTGGAGTCTTTGATAGACGAGCTTCCGAACCGCACCGTCCCGCTGCTGATGTTAGATGCAAATGGGAGAGTGGGGAGTATTTCTAGTGACGGCACAGGGGGGAGCGAGCCTGACAGGGAGAACACGAATGGCGAGATGTTTCGGTGTATGCTCGACACTCATCACCTCTGTGCTGCTAACACGTTCTAATCTTCTGGTCCAACATTTCATCACGGGAACGGTTCGAGTAGTGCTCGTGAAGATTACATTTGTATTCCGACCAGTACTCTAAGCAAAGTGCAGAAATGCGAAGTCTGGGAAAAAATGGAGATGCGTTGCAGTTGATTAGTACTCGGACGAGACGAGATCACTTCCCGCTGGTGGCCCTACTTAAGTTGGGACCGTTCTTTCCTGACGCTCAGAGTTCCCGCTGGGACCACAACGGATTGAGCAGAGCAGTACTGTTTGGAGAAAAGCGTCGGGAGTTCTTGGACGCCGTTAACCGAAGACTGGGTCAGGTTGCAGTGGGAGGTGCTGATGACGTGAGACAATGCCCCGATATTTTCTATCTGCGTGTCCACAATGTAATCAACCCGATAGCGAGGGAATTTGTTGAGCAGAAGCCCAAGCGGGTGGACCGTCCTGCTGACACGTCTGCTGCACTGGCCAAGCGCATCATCCTGAGGCTTGCGCTTCGTCGCGTGAAGTCCGGCTGTTCTCCCCCTGTCCTCCCCCCCCTGGTCGTGTGATCCTCTCTGGCTTCTCTCCTTCCTCCCCATGCCTCGAGTGGCAGGCTCGCGAACGTCAGCAGAGATTTTTGGAATTCATTTTCAGCGAATGCACAGGTAAACAGATACCCCCCCCTCTCGAAGGTGTGGTCCCCTGCTCTTCCTCTCCTCTTCCTCCTCCCCCCCCCTCTCCCCCGTCTCCGCCCTCTGAGTGTAAGTGTGATATCTGCCTTGGAGAGACTGGGGGTGTCCGTGGGGTCTGGTTTCCCACGAGGAGGCGGCTTCTGCTTCACCAAGCTAACACTCGACTTCCTAATCACGGGCTTCCTGTTCTAGCTCGTATGGCTACTGTTTCTAATGCGTGCACCTTACGTGGTAATCTGTACACTACTCGAAGATATGCTAGTGATCATCTCGCTAAAAGTTTAGAACGTGGTCAATGCCCTAGGTCTCGAGGGTCCTCTGTTCAGTATTCCCACAAAACGTCCCCTCCGTATGAATGTGTTCTCTGCGAGATGAATTTCAGTAGCTACGGTGTGGCTCAGTGGCATCTACGTTCTCACCGTCCTTTAGATGATCAGGTGTTCTTGCTGTGATGCAGCAGCAGTGGGCTGCCATGTTCGCTCAGGTTGGTGCGAAGCCTGCTGCTGCTGCCGCAGCATCCGCGGAGAATCAGGGGCCTAAGCGTGTTGCTCTTTCTTCCACTGCTGAGGCTAAGGCGGACACGGCTCTGAAGTTAAGCGTGATCAACTCTCAGCGTATCAGGCTGCTGGAGGCTGCATGCACTTACCAGTTCACCTTGAAGACTGATGACGTGCTGTACACCTCCATGAAAAACGCCCATGATCAGGAGTACTTGCCGAGGGTGAAGGGGCACAAGGGCCATAACCTTGGGGCTCCGGACAGTTTCCAGTTAGCGGCGGCCTCCTTGCTTCTGGCGTCCAAGGGGACCACCGAGCAGCAGGCAGTGGTCCACAAGTACCTCGATACCCACGCTCCTGGTTCCCTGGCTGCACAGCTGATTGTGAAGCTCTTTCGTACGGAGAAAATGCATGATTCAAAAAGCAGGAGGCTCATCCTTGCGCTGGCCGACAAGGAGTTAGAGGTGGTGGTGGTCGATCTTCTTTATTCCCATATGAATGTTCCTATACTCGCTGGTCCCAGGCCTGCGGGGATTCTGGAGGTCGAGGGTCAGAAGATGCTGGAGAAGTGGTCGTGTCGTGCCGGTGCTGCCTGCCGCCGCGCCTGCCTGTTCGTCTCTTGCCACTCAGTCAGTTTTCAGGATTGCAGTTTAGTATCATACTTGAGGCTGTCGCCATCCGTTTGCTGTGAGTGTCTCGGGAATGCGGCCGTGCGCCGTCAGCTGCCTGGCGGCACTGGCGCTGGCGCCCCCCTGTCTGAGGGGTGCCGTGGCTTGCGAGTGAGGGGGTTACCCCAATCTGCTCTCAGACCATCTGACTTTGGTCTCAACGGAGGGCTACCTGCCTACCTCCTCCTCCTCGGGGCATCAGGCCCCCGTCGGCGAGGCATGGGCGACGGGGGGGGGGCACAGCGTCCCCGCCCTGGGCCGATCCCACCCTGCTGGCCCTCGCTCGGACGTCTATTGCCTGTGCTTTGTGTCGGTTTCGTGCGTGGTTTTTTCGCGAAATGAGCAAGGATGCTCCTCGAGGGCCCTCGCCGAAGGAAAGATGCACACGTCCGAGCGATGCCGAGGACGCAGGCAGCAGACAGGGAGGGCCAGGCCACAGGAAGCCTGCGGCAGGAGACCCAGCCCTGAGACCCCAGGACGTCCAGCGGTTTTTGGTGTGGGAGCGTGACGCTCTCCAGAGCCGAGCCATCGAAACGCGAGAAACCCGGGAAATCCTAGAGGCAGGCAGGGCGTTTCTTGGCATGGACCCCCACTGTAACCCCAGGAAGCATTTAAGAACCCCCCCGGCGATATCGTAGCAACGCATTTTTTATTCGATATTCCGAAGGGCCGAAATAACCGAACGATAGCTGTAGCACCCGGACACGATGATGATGATGATGATGATGATGATGATGATGATGCTGATGATGATGATGATGATGATGATGATGATGATGATGATGATCATGATGATGATGATGATGATGATGATGATGATGATGATGATGATGATGATGATGATGATGATGATGATGATGATGATATGGATGATGATGCGGAAGGGTTATCGATTTGCCGGAGGGGGGGTCTTAAATGCTTCCTGGGGTTACGCGCCAGTGTCGGCGAAGACAGCCTCGATTTCTTGCGTCGCTCGCGTTTCACTCAGGACCCCTTTGGCTCCACGGCGAGCCTCGGCGGGCCCTGGCAGCGGCGAGGCGCCAGAGGAGTCAGAAGGCGTGGAGTCCGCTGCGGTGCGGCTCGCTGCAGAACTTGCCTCTGAGGTCGACTCGTCGTAAGGCTGCCGCGCCCACGTCGCCTCTGAGAGGCATCGATACGGGGTGGGCTGGCTCAGGGGGGGGGGGGGAACTTAACTCGGGTCCGGGGTAACTCGGGTTTGGATTCCCGAAAAACGAACCCGAGTTAGCCCTGACCCGAGTTACCCCTGATGAATTGGGGCTCTGGGCGCCCGAATTATCCGGGGTAACTCGGGCCCGGGCTAACTCGGGTTCGGAATCCCGAAAAGCGAACCCGAGCTAGCCCTGACCCGAGTTACCCCTGGTGATTCGAGGCTCTGAAGAACGTCGAGCTGGGATCGGCGTGCATCGCAGACAGATCGGCGATAGGCCCCGATGTCAAATCCGCGCCTTCCAGGGCAGGGTGGGCCATCGGGCCCCTGCCGGCGATCCACGGGCGATGGGGGCTCGACGCGTCCCCCCCCCCCCCCCCCGGAGCCTCTTCTCCCCCCCCTTCATCACCCACCCAACCACCCCAACCCGATCCGACGGCCTCAGCTTGTCCTCCGCTTCCAGGGTGGGGGGCGGGCGGGGCTTCGGGGAACATTGAAAACCACACACACCCACACGCCCACACACCCACACACCCACACGCCCACACACCCACACACCCACACACCCACACACCCACACACGCACGCACGCACGCACGCACACACCCACCCACACACACACACACACACACACACACACACACACACGCACACACACACGCACACACACGTCATGTGGAACCCATGCCCCCCCCCCCCCCCACCCCGCAGCGTGGACCCTCGGGCTGGGCTGGGGTGATCTGGCAGGCGGGGCCGCCCCCGCCTTGCAGCTCCCGCCGCGGAGCTCTGGCCCCCCTGCCGCGCCCCCCTCGGTCGCGAGGCCCGCCTCGAGGAGGGGGCTCCTGATCAGGCCCCGGTCCAGGATCGACCTGGGCCTCCGCGGAGTGCCCGCTGGCTGCTGGGCCCTCGCCTCCGGCATAGGCCGATGGCTCGCGGGCGAGGAGCGGCACCGAGTGCCCGTCGGCCGGAGGAAGACACACAGATGGGGTTTCCTCCCGAGGGGGAAGCCGCTCGACTTTTGAAGCAGGAAGGCGGCTACATCAGATTGCGATTAAGTCGGGCCTGTCTCCCTACAGGCCGATTCTGGACGACAAAAAATATTAAATAATACCCTCAAAATGTTCAGACACATACCCTGGCGACGTACCCAACCCCTGCGCAATGCGGGGCATGAGTAGCTTGGGAGACGTTATACGGAAGTGATGACGTGACATGGGCTCATATATTTCTGCGAGCGGCTTCGTGAGGCTCGCAGCTCTTCAAATATTGCAAGGTCCTGCTCAGATCTGCGTGGTGCCTCACTCCGCTGGACCCACCAGCAGCCCTCGAAAGTGGCGACAGTGTCGCAGATCGCAGCCACCCAGGGGCGGCGAGGTCCCGCTCTGATCCGCGCGGTGCCTCACTCCGCTGGACCCACCAGCAGCCCTCGAAAGCGGCGATAATTTCGCAGATCGCAGCCCCCCAAGGACGAGGTCCCGCTCTGATCTGCGCGGTGCCTCACTCCGCTGGACCCGGATCCAGCCTTTGAAAGTAGCGACAGGTTCGCAACTCGCAGCCCCCCAAGGACGGCGAGGTCCCGCTCAGATCTGCGCGGTGCCTCACTCCGCTGGACCCACCAGCAGCCCTCGAAAGTGGCGATAATTTCGCAGATCGCAGCCCCTCAGGGACGAGGTCCCGCTCTGATCTGCGCGGTGCCCTACTCCGCTGGACCCGGATCCAGCCTTTGAAAGTAGCGACAGTTTCGCAGATCGCAGCCCCCACGGGACGGCGAGGTCCCGCTCAGATCTGCGCGGTGCCTCACTGCCTCACTCCGCTGGACTCACCAGCAGCCCTCGACAGTGGCGACAGTTTTACAGATCGCAGCCCCCCAGGGACGGCGAGGTCCCGCTCAGATCCGCGCGGTGCCTCACTCCGCTGGACCCACCAGCAACCCTCGAAAATGGCGACAGTGTCGCAGATCGCAGCCCCCCAGGGACGAGGTCCCGCGCAGATCTGCGCGGTGCCTCACTCCGCTGGACCCACCAGCAGCCCTCGAAAGTGGCGACAGTTTCGCAGATTGCTATGCTGGCAGCCCTCGAAAGTGGCGACAGTTTCGCAGATCGCAGCCCCCAGGGACGGCGAGGTCCCGCTCAGGTCTGCGCGGTGCCTCACTCCGCTGGACCTACCAGCAGCCCTCGACAGTGGCGATCAGTTTGCAGATCGCAGCCCCCCAGAGACGGCGAGGTCCCGCTCAGATCTGCGCGGTGCCTCACTCCGCTGGACCCACCAGCAGCCCTCGAAAGCGGCGACAGTTTCGCAGATCGCAGCCCCCCAGGGACGGCGAGGTCCCGCTCAGATCTGCGGGGTGCCTCACTGCTTCACTCCGCTGGACCCATCAGCAGCCGTCGACAGTGGCGACAGTTTCGCAGATCGCAGCCCCCACCGGACGGCGAGGTCCCGCTCAGATCTGCGCGTTGCCTAACTCCGCTGGACCCACCAGCAGCCCTCGAAAGCGGCGATAATGTCGCAGATCGCAGCCCCCCAGAGACGGCGAGGTCCCGCTCAAATCCGCGCGGTGCCTCACTCCGCTGGACTTACCAGCAGCCCTCGAAGGTGGCGACAGTTTCGCAGATCGCAGCCCCCAATGGACGGCGAGATCCCGCTCTGATCCGCGCGGTGCCTCACTCCACTGGACCCACCAGCAGCCCTCGAAAGTGGCGACAGTTTCGCAGATCGCAGCCCCCCAGGGACGGCGAGGTCCCGCTCAGATCTGCGCGGTGCCTCACTCCGCTGGACCCACCAGCACCCCTCGCAAATGGCGACAGTTTCGCAGATCGCAGCCCCCTAGGGACGGCGAGGTCCCGCTCAGATCTGCGCGGTGCCTCACCCCGCTGGATCCACCAGCAGCCCTCGAAAGTGGCGACAGTGTCGCAGATCGCAGCCACCCAGGGGCGGCGAGGTCCCGCTCTGATCCGCGCGGTGCCTCACTCCGCTGGACCCACCAGCAGCCCTCGAAAGTGGCGAGAGTTTCGCAGATCGCAGCCCCCAAGCGACGGCGAAGAGAGGGCAGGAGGCGAGAGGAGGCGGGGGGCGGGAGGAGAAGAAGGGACGCGACCACAGTGCTCTATTCAAAACGAACACCCAACCAAGGAGGGTTGGGAAAAATAGTCCCCAGACTATTTTTTACTACTTTTGAAACTTCCCCCTGTAGAGGGACAGGCCCGACTTAATAAGGTCGGGATCTAGATACAAAAAAACATACATTCGACCACCTGCGTGCCCACTTTGCCGCGACCGAAGACGCCCGTCCGTTCCGGGGCGGCTGGCCCCGAGAGGCTTCCGGGAGGCCCCGCGCGGCCCCCAGGAAGCCCCCAGGAGGCCCCCTAGGCTCCCAAGAGGCGCCAGAGCTGCCCCCCAGAGGCCCCCGAGAGCGCTCCGACAAGACCCGAGAAGCCTTCCCGAGGACTCTGGCCCACGTCAGCGCCGTCGTCGCCGCCGCCGCCGTGGTCGACCCCCTTCAGGGTCGGCGGCACGGGCCGCAATGCCTTCGCAACCAACTGGTTTCCGCGACTTTGGACGCCTGACTGTCCCAGGGCGGCTGGAGATGTAACTTTGGCGGCGCGCACGAGGGGGTGGAGGGAGGGGGGAGGGCTTCTTAGAAGGAGGCTGCTTCTTAGAAGGCGCCGGCCTTACATCTGTAGACAAGGCCCGTGTCTTCTAAGAAGCAGGGGTGCTTCTGAGAAGCCCTCCCCCCTCCCCCCACCCCCCTCTGCGCGTGGCTGACTAACTGTCTCAGGGCGGCTGGGAAGTGTAACTGTATCCCTGCGATGACAAGTGGGGCGGTACAAACGCTCCAGCCGCCCTGGGACAGGCGTCCCCCCCATCGCGAAACAGGTTAGTTTCCACCGCTCTTCGCCCGCTGAGATGGACTGCTCCTTGGCCAGTCTCCTCTTGAGCAGGGACCGGCCGTCCTGGCGCTCCGATGGGCCCACCACGAAATGTCCGCAGCACCAAACACTGCTCTGAGAACCAGACCAGGTTCTCAGAACATGAATCCTCTTCGTAAAAAAAAACCTGACAGCCTCAACCAGAAACCTTCTGAGAACATTTCTCGGCGATGGACAAACCTCCCTTTAGTAAACCTCCCCTTAGTGAAAACGGCCTGGGACCGAAACCGACGGACCTGGACCCGCAAAAATGACGGCCGCGACGCCCTCTCGCGAACCGGAAACGGCCGAAACCGAGGTCTATCCACCTCCGAATTTCGTGCAAACCACCGAAGGTTCTCAGAGCACTCTGTGGTGGGCCTACAGGCAAGCCAGGGCGCCTGGCCACTGCTCGATCCTCCACGCCCGCGTGGAGCAAGAGCGCCCTGTCTCGGGGAACCGGCGCCGCCTCCGGCCAAGGGCCCCCCGACGGGGTGCCGGCAGAGGTGCCGGGGACGAGCGCCTGCAACCGCTCGAGCACGCGCGTGGCGCCGGCGTTGCCACGCCGGGCCCCTTCGCGCGTGCCGCCGCAGGCCTCGGAGCGGAGGATCGTGCCCCTGCCCGCGCCGCGCCCCAGGGCACAGGGCGGCCTCCACCCTGTCAAAGGCCTGAGCCAAATCGGATCGCGCAGTCGGATCGGATCTGGAACGGCTCGGACCGCCAACGGATCGCGGCGAGGCGGATCGAAATCGGATCGCGGCGACCGGCTCCTGTTTTGCCTGGCCGATGCTGGTGACGGCAACGAACTCGATCGAATCGGGATCGCGGCCCCAGAAGGCGAATCGAATCGCGTCGCATCGGAAGGTGGGATAGCAGGTTTATGTAGACTCCATTGGCGGAGGTATCTGCCACGGAACAGTGCGCAACGCAAAATGGGGGTGCTGGTGACGACGAGTTGGTGGTGACGCACGACGACGACGACAACGATGCTGGTGACAATGCGTGATGGCGATGCACGGCGGAGATGCTAGTAATAGTGCATGTGGCAGTGGCGATGCGTGGCGGCGATGCTGGTGACAAGCGGGGCAGCGCAAGCGGGCAGCGCGCAACAGTAGCAGTGCATCAAGCAACTTTAGCTGGCAACGCCTGGCTGGCGGCACGACGCACCCGCGACGGCGCACTCACGCTAAAGATTGAGTTACTACCGCAAAAAGCACAAAGGTTGCACTTCTTTGCCCGCCCTCCCTGTGGCGCGCCAGACGGTCCCACACTCGGGACACCCATCGAAAAGCATCCGGACAACCAGCGGAGCCAGGCGGCATGTTTTGGCTCGGGCGCTCCTTTTGGAACCCATGCTAAGAACACACAAGGCCTCAAAGCACCACGAGACACCACAGGGCACCAAGGAAAACAGCCAGCGATCCTACTATCGATCCCCGTCGATGTATCGATCTCACTATGTACCGACCTCACCGCCGACCTCAATCTCGATCTCACTGTCCATCTCACAAGCTATCTCACACGCTCGATCTCACTATCTATCGATCTCGCAATCGATCTCTCGCTCAGCTTATCTATCGACCACACTCGTTCAGTAGGGGCCCGACCGCAAGAAGCCTTCCACTGGAAGCCCAACCCTGAGACCCCAGGACGTCCATGGGCTTTTGGCGCGGGCACGTCGCGCCTTCCATGGCAGAACCCTCGGAACCCAAGAGACCCAGGGCACCCTGGAGGCAAGCATTTGGACGCCCGAAATGGGCACGGAAAGAATGGGTACAATGCCCCTCAACAAATGTTGTCCCAAACCAACAGCGGCCGCTGTTGGGCAGGCGGCCCTCTGTCTCGAATGGACACAGGCCGCGGCGGCGTGGACAACAAGCCCTGTTCAAAATGAACAGGGACCCTCGGAACCCAAGAGACCCTCCTCCTCCTCCTCCTCCTCCTCCTCCTCCTCCTCCTCCTCCTTCCTCCCTCCTCCCTCCTCCCGCCTCCCGCCTCCCTCCTCCCTCCTCCCTCCCTCCTCCTCCTCCCTCCTCCCTCTTCCCTCCTCCCTCCTCCCTCCGGTGTCTCTTGGCAGAAGGACCCCATGGTCATCGCACCCCGGCGTGCGCCGCGCCGTCGCGGGCACGGAGGCCGCCGGCCTCCGCCGCGAGGTGCAGGTCCCTCGCCGGCGGGGCGGCGCCGGCGCCCCCCTGGCCGGCAGGCGACGGGGGCTTCGGGGGTCGCCCTGCCCACGTCGGAACGTCGCCGTCGTAGGGGGGCCCACGGGTGGCGGAGGTGGCCGAGGGGACGCACAGGGGCATGACAAAAGCTAGACGTCCTCCTCTGAGGCGCGCGTCCGACCCGGACATGTAGTGGACCCATCCTGTAGCCGATCGTTGCCAGAGCAGTGTGGCCAGAAAGCGCCCGCCACAACGCATATACTATGAGGTTTCTCGGTGCGCGCGCCGCCCCTGGGGGGCGACGCACACATCGTAGTAGTTCGGGGATGGACAGGACCCCCTGTAGCGAAACGTGGCTCAGCGAAAACGACCTCGGGCCCAATCTGGCGGGCGCAGGCCTGGAAAATGACGGCCGCGGCGCCCTCTCGAGAACCGAAAACGGACAACTCACTAATCGACGTGTCAGGGTGGGGGTTCTGTCCACCCCCTCCTCCTCCTCCTCCTCTTCCTCCTCCTCCTCCTCTTCCTCTTCCTCCCTCCTCCTCCTTCTACTTCCTCCCTCCTTCCTCCCTCCTCCTCCTCCTCCTCCTCCTCCTTTTCCAGCTCCTCCTCCAGCTCCTCCAGCTCCTCCAGCTCCTCCTCCTCCTCCTCCTCCTCTTCCTCCTCCTCCTCCTTCTCCTCCTCCTCCTCCTCCTCCTCCCACTCCTGTCCTCCTCCCACTCCACCCCCGAGTAGTATGTTGGAGTGGCGCCGAGCCGAGGGCCTTCGGAGCGGGGAGCCCACGCCTCTCCACAGCGGGCGTTTCCTCGCCCGGCCTGTGGGCCCAAGGACCACGACGCATCGGTGCGGCTCGAATGCTGCTGCGCAGAAAACTGGGGCCCGGGGGGCTCCGCTCGTGATGTTCCGAGATGAGGAGGAGGAGGAGGAGGAGGAGGAAGAGGAGGAGGCGAGGCGGGGCACGGGACGGAACAAAAGCGCGGGTGACGATCTCGGGCCCCAGAGCGCAGGCCTGCCTGCACAGCTGCGCGGATAGGGCAACACAACAGCACAACAACGGAACTGGGCCGTGAAAACAGCCAAGAATGCCACCAGCCATCTGGGCGTCGGTGGTTTGGGGAGTTTCCTCGTCCACCCCTCCTGCTTCCCCTTTCGGGGAGGGGTTTACCCCTCCCCCCGCCCCCTC